TCCGCCCAACGATGACGGCCCTGCCTCGCTGGACCCGCTGGACCTTCAGACTTGGACGAAGCAAATCGGCGCAGTTCCAAGCGCGGAGAACATCGCACACTGACGCGGCAAAGTTCTCTTTCCAGCGCGACAGCGAACAACCCAAGCGCCAGCGCGCGCCGAATGTCCGACGCGCGGAAGGGGGCCCAGTTGCTCAGCGACAACCACCGCTACACACGGCAGGGCGAGCTGCCCGCTGACTCGAGGCGGCGCGCGGCGTTTTGGTCAGGGGAGTCGCGCTCCACGACCAGCACCCGAGGCCCGTGGAAAAACGAAGCGCGGTCACCTCGGCGTTTCCTTGCCCCAGTCGCCCTGCGGTCGGCGCCGGCCCCACCGGCCAGCGCGGGCGAACGACATGTCGTGCTCAGCAGACTCGGGCAGTGATCTGACAGGTCCCTTCTTTTCAGGGACCGGTCAGAAGTGGAAGCACGTCCATCTTCGCATTGACGATATGTGCCGTGATCCAGGCGCTGAACACGCCGGGCCGCTGCCCTCTCGTCTCCTGCCTGATGGGGACGAAGGGGGGAGATAATCTTCTGTCGCGGCACTCCCGGCGAGCACATGCCGCCGCGTCAGCGCGCGCGCGCGTAGCAGACACACCCTGACCTTCCTGCAACCGCAAGGTTGAGCGGGCCGCACGGCTGCGGCTCGCACGCCACGCTTGCGGCGCGCCAGCAGCGGCACCACCGGGGACGGCATCCGCCGCGGGTCGCGCAGCGCGCGGGGCAACGCGCGATTGAATGCACTGCTGCGCACGCGCGCCTTCTGGCGAATTGCGGCCGCCGCGCGGCGACGCGGTTCGCCGGGGGCCCGCGGCGCCGCTGAACGGCCCTGATGGCTGCGACACGCCGATGGCGCCGAAGACGACGATGAACGCATCGACGCCGTCCTTGCCGCTGTGCGCGGACACGGGGGGCGCGCGGGCAGTGCCGGTGCATCCCTGCCCATGCTGCGGTCGCAGCGTGGTGGGCGGGGCGGTAGAGGGCGCAACTCGCCGCCGCTCTGTTCTGATTCAGATGCCAGTCGTTCCCGAGCATGCTGTCGCAGTAGACGCGGGCCTGCCAGCGCAGCGGTTGCGCGAGTCTTAACCCGGCGGGCGACGCGGCCTGCATCTCGGCACGCAGGCCACAAATGCGTGCTCTTGCGGCTGCAGGCCAAGGACGCGCCCTCAGCAGCCGCGCGCGGGTCAGCAAGCGCGCTAAGCCTCGCGGGGATCGCACTGACAACTTTTCACAATAGCTGTTCTTAGGCAGCAAGCGCGCTGCGCTGCCTAAAGGAGGTCGAGGCAACGACGTTCTGCAGCGCCCCTCTGGCTTGGCGACTGCAAGCGGGGGCTGCGGCTGCCGGGGGGCATGGGCTGCCACGAAGTAGGCGCCCGGCCAGCAGCCGATTCCGCGGGGGCATCAGGATGGGGGAAATGGTCGAGGAGAGCGAACAGGGGAGGGCTGAGCTGTGGCTGAGTTAAACGGATCTGGGGGCCACGCGGTGGCACGGGCTCGCCCTTCCTTCGCGCTGAGTTGCCTTCGCGCACCCCCCTCTTTTCGCCCCCCTCTTCCTCTTCCTGACTGTCCTCCTAGTCCTGTGCCTTGCGTCGCCCTCCTCGCCCTTAAAATTGTCGCGTCTCCTGCGGCCTCAAACTCTCTTCGCACTCCCCGCCCTCTAGCATTCCCAGCGGCAGCCGGTGCCCCGCGGCACGCGGCGCGGCGGAAGCGGAAACAGAGCGAGCAAAGCACCCCTAGACGGGCAACGGCGCGCGGCGCACGGTAGCGGGCGCGGAAGCGCCTTTGTGCACGCGCATCCTGGCCTGACAAACTGCGCGACAGCGCGCGCGCCAGCTGTCGTTGGGCGCCACGGCGCGGCGCGCGGCCCCCCTCTGCGCACCTGCCCGCTGGCCCAAGACGCAACAGAGCGGCCGTGCTCTCAGAACCGCGAACATCAAGGGCGGGGAAGACGGCCCGGTAGAACACGACGGACTGCTCGCGACAAGATGGAGATGCACACGTAGATCAAAGACAAAGTTGGCGGGATAGTCAGAAATCATACACCATTTCAGCCCACGCAGAGGACAGACGCGACAAACAAATCCACGCGATGCCCTGCGAGATTGAGGGCGCGCGCGCTGCGATGCATCTCGGCGAAGATCACGATCAAATCTTTCGGCTGCAGACTAGCGCGCGCAATCCACGGGGCGAGCATGTCGCGCCCGGCCCTGCGCGGACTCGGCGGCGCAGCTAGCGACGACGCGGCCCGTCGGAGAAGAGGCGGAAAGCTCTGCGGGACGTGGCCCCGCGGAGCGTCGGGCGCCGACTAAACCGCGAGCGCAGACCGCCAGCGGCGCGGACCGACCGGGCGCGCCTTTGGCGAGGGGGCGCCAAGACATCGAGCTGGACGGCGAGACCACAATGGAGGCACCCCTCCGCCACGCGGCGGCCGGGCAGGCGACGACGCGCCGGACGAGTCAAGTAACAGACCCGCAGCAGGTTGCACGCTGAAAGTAGATCGCGCCGGGTGGCGAGTGCACAGCTGAGGAGCGTTGCGCGGCGAGGCGGCACTGCCCGCATGGGACGGCACGCGCCTGAACTGCGTATATTCACTGAGGCGATGACGTGGCTGAGTAGGTGGATTGAGGCAGAGATACAGAGACAAGCATGCAATCTGGCAGACGCGCACACGGGCGGATGTCGCACGCCGGATGACCCGCCCCGCATGAGGTCTCTCTGCGAGCTGCTTCTCGTGAGACAGAGCCGATCGTAGCCAGAGCGCGGCCGGGGGAAACCAACGTCGGCGCCAGCAAGCACCCTGAGAGGCGGTCGGAGACGAGCCCAGCCAGGCGCAGGCGCGCTCGGCGCGCCAGCCCGCGCGCACCCGCGCGCACTGCCAGATACTACGGCGCCCCAGCGCGCGTAGCATAATGCGCTGTTGGGAACAAGCGCGGCACGCCCCTGCGTTCGCGCACGCCCCGGCGCACGGCCGAACACACTGATGCCCGTCGCGCGCTGCAGAGCTCTTTGGAGCGCGCGGCAATAGCACGGCGCGCGCGCCAACGCCGCCAGGCACAAACAATGCCTCAGCGTTATTAGCACGACGCCTCAAAGCTCCAAAACATAGCACACCGTGCTTGCGCAGCTGCATCACCGGGCATGGGCAATGCCTGGGGCACTCTGAGCAGCACACGGGCGCGCATAGGTAGCGCACCGCGACGCCTGCACCGCCGCGCACTGGCAGCGCGCAGGCATGCCCCCACCAGCGAGCCCTGAGTGATAGAACAGCTGATACTGAAAGGACAAACGCGCACACTTCTCTGACCAAAACTGTCACGGCAGAGGATGCACAGATTACCGCGCGGCCGCATGCATAGACCGAATGGCACAGCGCATGGCGCGGACGTAATCTTGCGGCTGAAGGCACAACAAACGTGTCAGCACGCCTGGAGCTATACACTCCACGCATCGCGCGTCCAGGCGTCAGGGCGCACCGCATGCACTAGAGCATGGGCCAACAGGTCTCGTTGCCATACTCGTCCTTAAGTGAGTGGCACAGCTCAGCCCTGATTGCCTGTCAATCGTACTATACATTGCTACATGTCCAAGTAAGTGAACGGGCGGCATGCCCGAGATGGAGCTGACAAGTGGTCGGGACCAGGGCCACGCACGGCGCTTCACGTAGACTGGACAAGCTCCCTGATATCTGGGGAAAGGCGTGCGACATGGCTTCCAGGCAACACGCGGCACTATAGTAATAGGACGCAGCGACATACCTGACGCCTCATCCCCATCCTGCAAGATCGCTGGTGTAGATGGTAGCGAGGTCCCCATCGAATTCCACGTCGAGGAGGAACCACAGAAGACGAAGTACGACAGTTCGGAGTTGCCGAAGAGGTCGAAGGGGCGGATGGCACGAAGAACCAAAGTGAACAACGGCCGTGGCGCAGCCGACGCGCTGGCTGCATCTGGAGGCGGTGTCTGCAACACTCGCCAGACGCGTGTCTGGCCAGCTGCGGACCAAACTCGGGACAAGAACATGCATCGGCGACATCAGGTTGGTGATGAATGGCCGGCTGCCCCCAAGCGCCAAGATAGAGATCCTCCTCGATTATCACTCCACCACGATGTGAACTGCGGAAACGCCTTTGGGCTCGGGCAGGCGCAAGGGCGAACACCACGGCTATGCACGTGGCAGCCGTAGTAGTGTTGTTGCCCTTGATTGGTGCCAAGGGCGGTGGGATAAATAAGCATATGGACGTTCAGTATTCCACTCGGGTGGCGCGACGCGCTCGCAAGGACAGCCAGCACTGTCGCACACATCACGAGGCACTGCACAATCCCAGGGAGGAGCCTCACAATCATGCCCGACCCGAAGCTGCGGCCAGTGCCTGTGCGGTGCGATGGGTCGGGGAACGTCGTGGCATTGCATTGCAGCTGAAGGCATGGCATCGCACAGCGGAACACCACATAGCATTGCACTGCATGCCGTGGCATGGCACTGGAAATAATAACCCTAGCGCTGCAGCGGAAGCACGATTCGGAACGAGCGGAAGCGCGGAAGTGAGGCCTGCGCTGCAGCGGGAGCACGATTCGGAACGAGCGGCAGCGTGAAAATGAGGCCAGCCCAGCGCTGCAGCGGGAGCACGATTCGGAACGAGCGAAACCCAAAAATGAGGAAACCCAACTCCCGGGAATCCTGTGTAAAAAACAATACGCGGAGGGGGGCCGAATGTCTTTTGGACGTCATCAGGGGAGAAAGGAGAGTAGTATTCATATTGTGTACTTGTGGCGTTGGAGTTGGCGCAGGAGGGGGAGGGGGAGATGGAGGAGGAGGGGGAGTTGAAGGAGGAGCAGGAGGAGGAGGAGGAGGAGGAGGAGGAGGAGAGGGAGTTGGAGGACGAGAAGGAGGGGGAGTTGGAGGAGGAGGGGGTTGGAGGAGGGGGAGGGGGAGTTGGACGAGGCCCCTCCCAACCCCACCAGAGCGGAAATTGGCCGGGGGCGCCGCCGAAGGCGGCGGCATCGACGACGGAGCGTCTCGGCCCCGGTCTCGTTCTCGGTCCCGGTCTCGGTCACGGTCCCCCCTGGGGCGGGGGTGGAGGCGAAGGAGGGGAACGCGGAGGACGAGGACGAAGCTAGCTATAGGCTTCATCCAGTCTAAGTGATGGGAAGGTCGTCGGCGAAGCATTGGAGCCTGTGGGGCAGGTTGCGCCGTATACGTGCTGCCAGAAACCAGTAGTTGCCCAAAAAAACGGGACACATCCTGAACGTAATTGGGACGGGCGAAACCTCATGCCACTGGCCGTAAACTGGGCGAACTCATGGAGAAGGTATGTATGCAGATGCCCCGAACTGAGGTTTACGCTGACCAAGTGGCATTCGATTGAAGTAAGACTTCCTGGTTTCTTGACTACGGAAGTCCTGGCATCTAAAGGCCTCCGCCATTGTTCCCAGACTGAGTCACCCGATGATGTGATCTTTACATCGCGCGCAGCCCGGAGCACGATAATCTGGGTTGAAGGACAACGATATCGGGGACTGGCATAGGGGGGAACATGACCTGGAATCGGCGATACATCGCCGATAGATCGGCAATAGGCCCCTAATCGTGAATCCACAAGTTCCTTGGCAGGTTGGGGCTATCGGGCCCCTATCAATGATTAATGGGCGAACTGGGGTCGACGTATCCCCCTCTATGTGTTTCCCTTCTATCGTTGCACCTCTGCGACAATCTTGGCGCCCGTGCGAGGCCCCCGGGACAGGACCACACTCTCGCCCAGACCTCGAAGCGCAAGGTGCGAGCGGTTTCGCGCCCACGGTGTCTCAAGTCGAAAAAATGCGGGAAGCGTGCACAGTCAAAACTGGCAGGCAAGATGCGCGATCAGGATATGCAGGCCCCCTGGACGGCCGTGTCGAGGCTCCTCGAGCGGGGCTGGCCGTCGCACGTGGTTAAAGATGGACCGACGAGGCGAGGACGCAAGGGTACTCCACATTCCGTTATAGAGTGGGAGGAAGAGGAGGAAGAGGAGGAAGAGGAGGAGGAGGAGGAGGAGGAGGAGGAGGAGGAGGAGGAGGAGGAGTCACAGTTGGGGGGGGGTCTGATTTGAGCGGTCCTGGAGGGCTCCAAGGGGGGGGGGGGGGGGGCTGCAGTTGCCCCGTCTGGGGGGGCTGTGGCCCCCTCCCTCGTGTGATACGGGAAGCGGAGTGCCCTTGGGGGAGGCTGCCCGTCCCCATCAGATAAGTGGCCACGTGCGAACCCCACCCCCCTTAGTAGAATTTAAATCCCTTTACGAGTACCAATTGGAGGGCAAGTCTGGTGCCAGCAGCCGCGGTAATTCCAGCTCCAATAGCGTATATTAAAGTTGCTGCGGTTAAAAAGCTCGTAGTTGGATTTCTGCCGAAGACGACCCCCACGAGTTCTGAGGGGGAGGGCGGGGTTCACTTCGCTCGGGAGCTCCCGAACGACGTGAACTCTACCTGGCTAGTGTTGGGCGGAGATCCAACAGCTCGCTCTCTCATAGGGTCGAGCAGCTCATTGCACTGTGAGGCCTGCAACTCCTTAGGAGCCTCCCTCCCCCTCAGAAATCGTGGGGGGCAGGGGTGGGGTTCGCATGTGGCCCCCCTACATCAGCGATCTCGACGGCAGTGGACCCGTGGCGGCGGGGGGCGTGGCCTCGCCTGGCCGCCGCCGTTGCGCCGGGCGGGCAGCGATGAGGGCCAACGTGGGGTCGAGGCACCCCCTCCCCCAGAGCCAGCGTGCCCCTCTCTGTCGTTGCCCCAGGCTTTCGGGTCGTAACTATGCTCTCCGGCGGCCGCTTGGGACGAGCAGGACACCTCCGGAAGGCCCTCGGCGAGGCGCGGCCGCCAGAAGGCACCCCGAGGATGGAAACCGCTGAGAACCAGCGAAGAAGTCCGCAACCCGCGAACCTTGAGCCCCGAAACTTAGTCCCCGAATATTGCCCCCGAGTTTCTTAGTGTGGGGTTCGAGGCAGCTGTTGGGATCCGTCGAAAGCAGGTTGGATTTCCGCCCGCCCCTGAAGACGATGAGAGGGGAAAACCGCTCGACCCTTGAGTTGCGTAGGGCCGGGGGGTCAGGTCTGCAGAACACCCCAAATGGACGTCAAGGGGCGCAATCAACGTGTTCGGTCAAGCTGAAATTGACGCACCACACCCGGCGTCAAGCCAAAGCGTTGGACATGAGCAAACGGTTGGAGTTTGCATATCTTCGTCGGCTCAACCGGCGAGGCGTTTGACCACAAGGCGCTCTCTGACCCTCGGCCCTACTCAACCCTCGAGACAGGAAAGCGCCTAAAAGCAGACTGGAACCTGAGGGCATCGTGGAGCTCGGAGCAGCTGCCGAGTCCTCCACGACTTGTCGCCGAGGCCGCCCGACCTCGTACCTCACGCCGCCGCGAGGGCACCGTGCGCAGTGGGCCTCGCGCTTTCGCGCGGGCACTCTTGGAGAAGGGCGACTCTCTGGCCCAGGCCGAAACGGAGGGGGAACAACAAAGAGAGGGCTGGGAGTAACTTCGTAGGGGGCGATAAGTTGTCGGGAGAAAGGTGCACTCGTCTGCCCTAAAAGCCCCCTCGTGGACCCTAAAAAGCCCCTTTTCCAGGGGCCCTAAAGTGCCCCTTTTCTGCAGCCCTCGCTGCCGCCCCTTTTTCGCCCCATCTTTACGCGGTTTCCCCGGGGGGGGGGGCGCTGGCTCGGGGGACACTTTTGTTCGCAACCGCAATCGGACAGCCGCGCGGCGTCAAGGGGTCGAACGATAGCCAGGCCTACGTAGGCAGGGCGGATGCCCACACTACAGCAGGCTAGCGCGGAAGAAGGGGGGGCCGAAACCGAGCGCGAGCGGCGAACGGGTAGCGAAAAAGGAACAGGCGACTAACCACGGCTCAGCTCAAAGCCGAAGATCACGAGCCCGAGCTCACCAGTGAACTCAGCTTCCTCAAAGGCACGCCACGTCTCCGTCTACGCGTAGGCCAAGGTGAGGACCGCGAGGCCGTCGTCAATCAATATACAGTAGCTCAGCGCAAGACCACCGTGTAAGCGAGCGCGAAAACCCCGGAGGCAGAAAGGCACCTAAAACAGATCCGAACCTGAGGGTCCCAAAACACCTGCTGAGGGCACCCCTGGAGAAGGGAGACCCTCTGGCCCAGGCCGAGGGGGCAGAGGCCACTGACCCTCTGGCGCTGAGGTGAGCTCGGCCCAGGTGCGAGCAGCGGGGGCGGAGCAGAGGCTCCTGGCGGCCCAGGAGCGGCCCCGCTCCGCCCGGCAAGGGGGTGCACACCTCCCTCTCCTGCTCCGCTCCTCCTCCTCCTCCTCCTCCTCCTCCTCCTCCTCATCCTCCTCCTCCTCCTCCTCCTCCTCCTCCTCATCCTCATCTCCTCCTCCTCCTCCTCCTCCTCCTCCTCCTCCTCCCCTCCTCCTCCTCATCCTCCTCCTCCTCCTCATCATCATCATCATCATCCCTCCTCCTCCTCCTCCTCCTCCTCCTCCTCTCCTCCTCCTCCTCCTCCTCCAACCTCCTCCTCCTCCTCCAACCTCCAACTCCTCCTCCTCTTCCTCCTCCTCCCTCCTTCCTCCTCCTCCTCCTCGTCCTCCTCCTCCTACTCCGCCTCCTCCTGACGCTCCTCCTCCTCCTTCTCCTCCTCTGACCCTCTGTCACTTATCATCGCGACAATCCCACGAGGCAGGCAAAAAAAACAGGAACGAAGGGGGCTTCCTCTGGCCTCGGCGAGCCTGGGCCACGACGAGGCTCCCCCAGACCTGGATCTGAGGCGCCGCCCGAAGACAAGAGCCAAGCATTGGAGGCTTGGGAATGGACACCAACACCAAAACAGGGAGTTGCGTTCACCAGGGGCAGGATGATCCTCAATTGCGGGGTTGGTGGTGATCTTTGTGAGCATTTTTTTATTCTGGGTTCCGGCTTTAGGCGCATGGGGGGGAGGGGGGGGGGGTCCGGCTCTCGGCCCGTAGTCAATGCCTCCGATTGAATCATGTGGGGAATTCTGTGGGAGATGCCGATGAGGGAATCCTAGGGGAGACCCCCCATGGGGGAATCGCGCAGCGGCTGCGCGGGGCTGCGCCAAGGCTATGCGTGATTTGGCAAGCCTGTGCCAGAATTGCTAGGGATCACCTATTCATGATTACACGAGGCCGTCGCTGGCATAACAGGGGAGGGCCCAGCCGGAGGCATGCTTTCTGGCGATCGGGTCTGGCGCCCCTGAGCCCTTTCGTTGTGGTTCCAGAAGAGTAGCACGATAAAATGCGCACAGTTGCACACATCAGCGATTCGAGTTTCTACCGGGGGAGGGGGGGGGGGGCGCCGGCCCCTGTAGTTCGTCCGATCGATTGAAGCAGGTGCCAAAATCAGCCCAGAACTTCTCTACGGGGGGGGGGGAGGGGGGGGGGAGGGGCGTTCCGCCGAAAGCAAAAACAAATAATAAAAGAATGCTCACTTTTTCGGCCACCTGGGAGGCCCAAAGATTGCCACCACCGCCGAGGTGGGGATCCGCTTCCCTCGGTGGAGGCACACTGCCGATCTTGGTGCTGGTGCCAACCTCCGGGCCTCCGACCGAAATCCTAAGACCAGAGGCTCCTTTTTTCAATGGCTTGACTGTGCGGCGGCAGGCAGGCGCTGTTATCGAGGGGACGAGCGGGGAGGGGGGAGGGTGGGGAGGCGGCATGAGGCGAAGGCGAAGGAGAGGAGGAGGAGCAGGAGGAAGAGGAAGAGTAAGAGGAGGAATAGGAAGAGTAAGAGGAGGAGGAGGAGGAGGAGGAGGAAGAGGAAGAGGAAGAGGAAGAGGAAGAGGAAGAGGAGGAGGAGGAGGAGGAGGAGGAGGAGGAGGAGGAGGAGAGGTCCTTCTTCCAGAGCCTCGACTTGCAAAGGGGGGGGGCCAGCGGAGCCGCACGCTCACGGGCGGCGCGGGGCACCCGGGCCCCCCGAGCGGCGACGGCTGGGCGACTCTGCGAACTTCTGCGCGCGCCGCGCCTCGCAGAGGTAACTCCTCGCAAGTGGCCCGGATCCGCCGCGGGTGATTTGCGATCCATGGCATACTAATAAAGGAAAGCCTCCTTTGCTGTTCGGACTCTTGCGAGCGCAGGCACTCTGCGAGTCGCGGAACGCGCTCGGCGAGACTGGGGGGTCTCGGCCCAAACAGAGGGAGAGGTTTAGGAGGAGGGCGGAAGCTGAGACGCGAGAGAGGACATAGACGCTGTCGTTCAAAAACTCAACCCTGCTATTAGGGATGCCAGCGGGCCATGGCCCTCCTCACTCAATGCAGGCGTGCTCTTGGGTCGACATTCCCCCCCCCCCCTGCTTGAGCCTGTCCCTGCCGGCGCTCCCGGAGGAAGCTCCCGCAGGCGATCCCTGGGGGGTCACACGGCGGCCCAGGCCCCGACCGCGGGCCGGACCCTGTGCACGATACACTCAATCCGTATATCGGCGGCGAGCGAGGAACGGAACGGAACGGAAGCCGGCTAATGGCTCCGCGAGGGAGCTGCTGGGGGGGGCCTAAGCCCACTCACTTGTTGATGTATCCCTTGTTGAGGTACTCCTCTTTTACGGTATCCCGCACCGGTGATTTTGCCACCTGGACCCAACTTCCATGGCCAGTTGTCTGCACATGTTGTTTGATATCGTCTGCCCAACGAAGGCCTTCTCAGAAGGTTCGGAAGTCCCCCGGCCTTCTGAGAAGTTTTCTAAGCCTTCCCCGAACACAAGTTCTCAGAAGGCGCGAGGGCTTCTGAGAAGTCCCGCCGCCTTCTGAGAAGGCCTTCTCCTTCTCATCTTTCTCCTCCCTCGCTCGCCGCCGAGTATGATAAGGATGCGCGTCAAGGATACAAGGGCCTTGGAAGGCCATGTCAACACTTTGCGAGCGGGGCGCGACCAGCGAAAGCGGCCAAGGATGGGCCGAAAGGGTAAGATGCGAGAGTAACATTGGAAAATTGCTCATCTGCACTATGCGGGCTGACCGTAGGCGTCCCGACACTGCCACTGACAGAGGGCTGCAGCAGCCGGCGACCCACAACTTCCACTCCGTGAGTTTTCTCACCACTCAACCCTGGGAGTGCCAGGCGGCGATTTATCCAGATCCAATGCCTGGGAACCGACGCCCTGAGGCACCAGCGGGCGGCGGATGTGGACATATCTTGGCCCCTGGGGGCACGAATCTATCCAGATCCACCGCCTGTGAAGGTCCGCGGACACCGATCCGCCAGGCGGCGGTTATGGATAAAATCCCCGCCTCGGAGGGAGGACGAGGAGGAGCAGGAGGAGGAGGAGGAGGAAAAGAAGGAGGAGGAGGAGGAGGAGAAGGAGAAGGAAAAGAAGGAGGAGAAGGAGGAAAAGAAGGAGGAGGAGGAGAAGGAGAAGGAGGAGGAGTGCCTGAACCCGCGCCTTTTTGTTGGCGGCCCCGGGGCCCCGCAAGACGACGATGGCCAAACACCCGCCGCCGCCGCCGCCGCGGGTCGGCCAAGACCTCCTCCTCCTCCTCCTCCTCCTCCTCCTCCTCCTCCTCCTCCTCCTCCTCCTCCTCCTCCTTCTCCTTCTCCTCCTCCTCCTCCTCCTCCTCCTCCTCCTCCTCCTCCTCCTCCTCCTCCTCCTCCTTCTCCTCCTCCGCCTCCTCGCGGCGCGAGGAGGTCTGGGCCGACCCACGGCGGCGGCGACGGCGGCGGCAGCCCCAGCGGCGGCGGCGGCGGAGGCTCACGTGCGGGGCGGCGGCTCGGGAGAGGGCGGCCTTCCCGTCGGCATGGACTCGGGCGAGATGGCGCCGCCTCTGTTGCGAGTGGCCTTCCCGGGCCCATCACGGAGGTGGAAGGAGGAGGAGGAGGAGGACGAGGAGGAGGAGGAGGAGGAGGACTAGCACGTGGCTGTTGATGAAAGGCCAGGGTCTGGCCGACACGATCCGAACCCGAAACCTTAGGCTCCTGGCATCTTGTCTCTGACTGGGCAGCCCCCCTGCATGCAGCTGAAAGCACGACCCTCTAGGGGAGGCACATGCTCAGCAGGGAAACGCGAGCAAGAATGCTGTTCGCGTGCTCTAAACTTCCCCCTGAGCCTCGAAGCCCCGAAGGGGTGCGGCAACAGTGGTGCCTGATACGCATGCTACACGTGCAACGCACATCGCTGAAAGCCCGTACGACACGCCCACAAATACTTCGCATGCGGGACCGATGGGCCACCTCACGGAGCCTAGACCGCCCAGACAGGGGTGCCCCGCTGCTGGAGAAAGGAAGGAAGGGGCCAATCCAATATCGGCAGGACTCGCCACAAGCTGGGCACTCGTCCCTGCACGGCCAGAACTGACTGTCAGCTGGATGGGCAGTGGTGCCCGAGGATGAAACACCAGTGGCACCACGAGCCTACGCGCCAAGAGGCGGCAGGGACCAGAAGCAAAGGAAGATCAGCTGCTGATCCGCGGACCGTCGTCGTCGTCGTCGTCGTCGACGTCGTCCTCATCACCGCCGCCATCGCCATCTCGGCGGCACAGGCTACGCGGTGCAACGTTCCCCGATAGACCTCCCACAAGAGTTGCACTCTTCGTGTTCCTCTTCTCTCGCTCACCACTTCCTCCTCGGGCTGTTCCCTCTGGGGAGCGGCCAAGAGGGGGGTGTCCAAGAAGGGAGGGTGCAAATCATGACCGGCAGCATATGCGCGGCCCAGCGGGGGGGCCAGGGACGTAATGAAATAAGAAGGGGCGCCATGACATCTGGGGAGATATCATGGCCCCCGCCACGATATCCACCCCCCCCTAGTCATCACCCCCCTCTTTTCTGCCCCCGATCCCTCCCCCAATGGGAAAGCGCAGGAGAGGACCCCGGAACGCCCATCTTCGGCTCGCCCACGACAGCTGCATCCGACCAGCCCCCCGGCGGGCCCAAACAACATCCCAACAACTCCCAACCTGAGGACCCGCAGGGCCTCACCCGTGGACGCAGACTTAAGTCGGGCCTGTCCCCCTACAGGGGGATCTTGGGCGAAATTGCTCTTTCAATACTCCCAAATGATCAAAAATAATCAAAAAATCGTCTCGAGACTATTTTTCACTATTCTGAACATTCCCCCTGTAGAGGGACAGGCACGACTGAAACGCAGACACAGAGAACTTCTCAGAAGGCCGGAGGGCTTCTGACGAGCCCCGCCGCCTTCGAAGAAGGCCTGCCCCCTCTCTATTCCCTCCTGCGCGCGCCGCCGAGAAGAGGCAAGGGTTGGGGGCAGGAACGACGTCCGGCGCGCCCCGTCGAGAATCCCGAGAGGCCTGTCGCACTTCTGACCCACTGCCCCTCTCGACGGCTTTTCGGAACCAGATGGCTCCGAGCTGGCCCGCAGGACTCGGCGGCGAGCCTGGGGGAAGTCAGAGGGGGAGGGCCTTCTCGGAAGGCTCGGAGGCCCTCTGGCCTGCTGAGAAGCTGTTTGAGCCTTCTCCGAAGACGCAGACGGCTTCTCAGAAGGTCGGAGGGCTTCTGAGAAGCCCAGCCGCATTCTGAGAAGGCCTGCCCCCTTGCACTTCCCCCCCGGGCTCGCCGCCGAAAGACGGCTCAAAACGGCCCACGCGGCCCAAGGCGGCAAGCAAGACGCCCCAAGATCGCTTCACGACGGCCCAACGAGACCTCAAGAAGGCTCGAGAGGTCTCCAGGACACTCGAAGAGGGCTTTCAGCAGGAGAGCAAAGAGGAGCGAGCCCAGAGAGTTCCAACGGAACCCCAGAGGGCCAAAACGGCAAATCAGGGGAACACGCACAAAAGGCAACAAGAAGCTGGGAGAACACGCTGTCCCACGACTTCCCACCGTGCCGCCCGGCACGCATCCAGCACGGCCCCAGCAGGCCCCAAAGAGGCCCAGGAAGAGTGCCCCAAGACGCCCCCAAGTGGGCCCCGCAGGCCCCCAGGCTGCCCCCCAGAGAGAGCCAAAGCGCCTCCAGAAATGGACCAAAGCGTAGGTCGGGCGTGTCCTCCTACAGGCGGATTCTGGACGAAAAATCTTAGATAGTCAAAAAATGCTCAAACATGGTCAAAAATACTATGTTGGATCTTGTCTTCATACATAGATATATATATATATATATATGTGTGTATACACATACCCAGACTATTGTTTGACCATGTTTGAGCATTCCTCCTGTAGAGGGACGTGCTCGACTGAAACCAAAGCCCGCTGGGCTGTCGCCCTCGCACTCAAGCCGCCCCTGCCCCCTGGCGCGAGGCGCACCGTGCGCCCCGGCGCGCCTCATCCCCGGGGTCGGCGGAGCCTGCCGGGGAGCCTCTGCGACGTGCTGTGGGTGGAACGCTGCTCGTGCGCAAAGATGAAGGGGCCATGGGACACACAAATAAATACACACAAACAAAAAGGTTCCCCATAGTTTCCCATATTTTCGGGTTTTTTGTCTTCCCCCCACTTCCCATACTTTCCCATCTTTTCTGGGGAGTCGACGACTAATTGTGTCTGTGTTTTTTCCCTGCTGAAAAGCGACGACCTTGGTCAGGGGGTGGACAAACCTCCCTTTAGTAAACCACCCTTCGGTGAAAACGATCTAGGACCGAAGCCGACGGAGCTGGACCCGCAAAAATGACAGCCGCAACGCCATCTCGCGAACCGAAAGCGGCCAATTCGCTAATCGACAAGTCACGGTAGGAGGTCTATCAACCTCCGATTGGCTAGGGGGGGCACATGCGAACCCCTTCCCCTACCCCACCCTCTCCCGAGCAAAGTGAACCCCACCCTCCCCCTCAGACATCGTGGGGGGTTAGGGGCAGGGTTCGCATGTGGCCCCCTATTGTGGTTGGCAGCACTCTGACGAGAGCTCCCGCGCCCGAGTCCGTCACAGAAGCAAGGCACGCTCGGAAGACACGAGCCCAGAGGTGGGGCCGTTCCTGCCGCCAAGGAGCCCAGGGGGCAGGCTCCCCTCCGACCCTGACCCGTGGCACCCTGACACGCCACCGCCCAGCAGCACTGCGACGCCATCAAAGACCACCCGTGGCCGTGTGTGCGCTGCGTCAACAGCAAAAGATCCCAACCCCCGAGGGCCAGACTTCTGAAACGCTGGCGGGAGCTCAGAGTATACAGGATGTCAAGTGAACCCCAGCCAGGATGCCAGATACCCCAGCGTCGATTGGACCCGCAGGGGGCAGGGTTCGCAAGCGGTCACAGGTCCGTACGCACGAGAACGGCGCGCACGCACCGCACCCAGTCTGGACTCCCGTCGGGCGCCGCCCCCAGCGAGGTGCGGTGCACAGTCTTCTTGCCCTGCGGGCCGATCAGCTATGCACCGTACCCATCTCGGGGCCAGAATCGACGACGCCTCGGGAGACGCCACTCCTCCTCCTCCTCCTCCTCCTCCTCCTCCTCCTCCTCCTCCTCCTCCTCCTCCTCCTCCTCCTCCTCCTCCTCCTCCTCCTCCTCCTCCTCCTCCTCCTCCTCTCCTCCTCCTCCTCCTCCTCCTCCTCCTCCTCCTCCTCCTCCTCCTCCTCCTCCTCCTCCTCCTCCTCGCGGCAGGGTGCACACGTGTCCTCCGCAGGCCCACACTGCAGCATCCTGGCACGCCGCCGCCCAGCAGCCCCGCGACCTCACCAAGAGGCCCCCCGTGGCCGCGCGTGCGCGAGCGCACGCCCCTGGGCCTGCACCCGCACGGTTTCCCCCGGGGCCATAGGCGACCCGAGGAGGAGGAGGAGGAGGAGGAGGAGGAGGAGGAGGAGGAGGAGGAGGAGGAGGAGGGGGAGGAGGAGGAGGAGGAGGAGGAGGAGGAGAGGAGGAGGAGGAGGAGGAGGACGAGGAGGAGGACGGGTCGCCTAAGCCCTTCGGAGAAACCCTCCATCTGCACCCGCACATCCCCCGGAGCGGGGCCTGGCGGTCCCGGTCCCTGTCGCGGTCGCGGTCTCGGCGGTCCCGGTCCCTCCGGGGGGCCGGCGCTGGCGAGCGGGGCCCGCGGAGCGGAGGGGGGGGAAGGGGCCGCAGGTGAGGCGGCACAGAGAGGGCCCAAAGATCCGAGGCTCCAGAAAAACTAGAGCGGCCAGCATCGGGGGTGTTTTGCACCTCCAGGAGCCCTCAACGGGCCCCGGGTCCGTTCAAAAAACGACCGCAGACGAAAAACCAGCCCTGGGAAGGGGTCCAAACCTCTGGGGGCCCCCGCATCGGAAAAGATCGAGCGCCAGATGTCTGGGGAGGGAGCCTGGGGTGGGACGGGGAACGGGGACGACAGCAGGTGCAGGATGGGGGGACGGGGCCAAAGAAACAGATGTTTCTCCTCGTCTCCTCCTCCTCCTCCTCCTCCTCCTCCTCCTCCTCCTCCTCCTCTTCCTCCTCCTCCTCCTCCTCCTGCTACTCCTCCTCCTCGTCCTCCTCTCGGGAACGAGAAGACGACACACGCAGAAATGGCACTTGATTTGGGGGGCCTCGGCGCCAGGCCCGCGAACGCGCGGCACGGCAAGCGCGCCGACTGCGCTGGGCGCGCAGGCAGGGGAGAAGCACCAAGGCCGCCAACCTTATTCGCTTGCTTCAGAAACTAACTGGTACAGAGAGGAAGCGTTATGTATCCGTGGATGCTTCACGTCGCATTTCCCCAATCAGAGCTTGCCTCTGTAGAGGTCCAAGCGGATTCATATGGTTAGGTGAGGTGTGCCGCCGATTTCGGCGGCGGGCCTGGGTGCCCGGTAGCCCTGTAGCCCTATAGCCCTATATCCTTATAACCTTATAGCCCTAGAGCCCTAGAGCCCTGATGACCCTATAGCCCTATAGCCCTATAGCCCTATAGCCCTAGAGCCCTAGAGCCCTAGAGCACTAGAGCCCTATAGCCCTCTAGCCCTCTAGCCCTGTAGCCCTAAAGCCTTATAACCGTATAGACCTTTAACCCTATAGCCCTATAGCCCTATAGCCCTGAAGCCCTATAGCCCCCATAGCCATGTAGCCCTGTAGCCGTGTAGCCCCGTAGCCCTATAGCCCTATAGCCCTATAGCCTAGTAGCCATAAAGCCCTATAGCCCTATAGCCCCATAGGCCTATAGCCCTAAAAATCGGATTGGGTTTTTCTCCGGCATCATTTTATTCGGCGGTTCGACATGGGGGCGAAAGTGGGGGAAGCGGGGGTGTGGCTCTGGACCTCTGCTTAGTGCGACTGTTTGCAGCAGAGCGTCATATGGGGGGAGACTTCACCCGCTCGAAACAGGCACCCAAAAACGGCCAAGAACTACTCCATTGGGGATGGGGGGGTACGAGGGCCCGCGCCGATGGGCAAAAGAACGAATAAAAAACGATCACAGTGTCAACAGCGCGGGGCCTGATCCAGCGATCTGCTGAAATAGGCTATACCCACGACCATGGTCAAGGCCATATCTTTTTGGAGGCTGCAGACCAGACGCATTGGGGGGGGAAACAAAAAACAACAAAGCAAAAGATAAAAAAACAATTCCTGTCCGCTTAAGCGCTTGCCTTCACAGCCTGACCACACCAGACAAAAGGAGCGGTTGCGGCGGAACCTGTGGATTACCCTACAGGGCCAACGCCAACACCGAAGGCCTCAAATCGAGGATAGGCCGGTACAGCAAAAGAAACGGCAACGAGCGGCAACACGCAAAAAAAAATGTTATGAATCATAGCCAAGGCCAACCTGGCCACTGGAGGGCGGCGGGGCAGGAGGAGGACCGGCGACGACAGGGGGGCGAGGGGCCCAGGGGCCCCCGGCGCGGCACGGGAAGCGCAGGCCGGCTGGAGTGCCACGGAAGTACGAGAGCCGCTGTTTCACGGAGCTCCCAGAACGGCTCTCAAGACATATTACGGTGAGGGCATTTTTGTTTTAGCTTTTCGAGGCCGAAACCCGTGCATGCATGGATTCGCAACGCTGCTGCCCCAAAACAGGTCTTGAACAGCGACCCACCGCGCACGGCGAGAGCCACCCCAGGGCAGCGCGATTACCTCCGCGCCCCGCGCTGCCCCTTGGGCTTGGGGTAAGGAACCAATGGATAGGGAATCCAGGGTCTCGAAGCCAGTGGAGCTTTGATCGTGGACTGGCCATGGGTATCACCGCCGCCCTCCTAAGATGAGGAACCCCCCAGGGTCTGAAGCCTCCTGGGCACGTTCATTAACCAACGCCCCCACCGTATGTCACACCATAGTTCGAGCGATCACGTGCTTTCTAGCTTTCTCTTGATGCCGTGGGCCTCTTGTGATACCAAAACTGTTTTTATGCCGCTCCAGAGAACGAAGGACACAATGCTACACACCAACTGTTCCCCGCACGCGCCTAGAAATGTGTTTTTGCGACTTCCGTACCGCGCGTAAACCCCGTGAACCAGCGGGCACAGATGACGCGTCGCAGAGGACTGGACGGGCCCGCGCTGCGCGTCTTGTTCCATCACTTTTTGCTGCCCCAACTTTCAGCGACCAGGAGGGGCGCGCCCACCAGCGCCGCAAACCGCAGCTCGAATACAAGATGCGCGGGTCGCCAATGCCGCGCGGGGCGCCAATGGCGCGCGCGGCGACGAACAAAACAGTACATCATGCTGCTCGAACACGCGCACGGACGGGGTCAATGCATCAAGGGGGCCACGCGGCAGCGTGAATCACGCGAGCAGTTGATCACAGCCTGCCAATTTTCGCAGAATCCTGCAGGACTCATGCCATACTTATGTTTCGTTATGTTCCTGATATTCGTCCTCCTCCCTCGCCCCCTGGCACAAGAAATCCAAGAATAACGAGGGGGGGTCGGGCAGAACTTCTCGACAAGTTCACAACACTGTCAAAGCACACGTGACTCGCGAACACAGACGGCCACGAACCGATGCTGGTCACATACCTATGAGCGCTGCGCATGAGCAAAACGGCCTCGGATGGTCCACAACACTTCCAATACTAAGGTGCCAAACTCTACACACCGACGCTTTTGTCTGGCCCCGCAGTGAAACTCGCACAAGAAAGCGGATCCTGGTGTGCACGGAATCCTGGTGCACACATGTTTCGTTGCTTCCACGGGAAAACGGGGAAAGGCGCATACAGCACAACACCCCGACGTCGTCCCCGACCCTCAAGAGTCCTGCGATCGAGGAGCAGCCCGCCACTGGTAGTGCGCGTGTGCTCCAGCTGCCGAGATACAGCCACACCCAGCAGGGCTGGTTCTGGTCTCCGCTGTCCGACAGCGGAGATGGCTCAACATTGAACTGGCTCAGAGGTTGCAGGTGGCCTCCCAGCCTTGAGCGCCCGCGCCAGCGAGGAGGAGGAGGAGAAGGAGGAGGAGGAGGGGGAGGAGGAGGAGGAGGAGGAGGAGGAGGAGGAGGAGGAGGAGAAGGAGGAGGAGCGTCGACGGTTGGCGCGAACCTGCCGCCCGCCGCCGTCGCGTCGGGCAACTGGACCATTGGCAGCGCGAGCAGGACGTGGCGGCGCCGCCACTTGCAGGCCGCCCGGCAGAGAGTGTTGTCGGCGGCGACGTGGAGCGCGAGGCGCTCCAGCAACCAGTCATAACTCGATGTATACAGATACCTCGATGTGTATATATATACATACATACATACAGATGTGGACATCTAGACATATGGGCATACAGACATATAGACATATAGACATATGGGCATATAAATAGACATATAGATGTAGATACTTCGATACGTCGATGTATATAGACATATATGGACGTGAATATAATAGAATATAACCACGCGCGCGACTGCATTCATGCACGCACATACCCAAACTTGAAGTGGCCATGAGTGGAACAAGTAGAACGGAACGACGGCGGACCGAGCACATGCACATGAGCGACAGAGGTACGCCCAGGCAACTTCAAAACGACGCTGTGCAAAACAGTGCAAAGCCGCGAAATCAGTTCCCACAATACGTTCGAGCCAAGATGGTCTAGCGAGCTCTGTTTCCCTCTTCAAGACCCTCTTCCATTCGTGGAGGGGTGCCCTCCCCTCCCCTCCCTGAGGTTTTTGGGGCGGGCCGCAATCGGTCTGAGCGTCCAAGATGCCCCAAGATGGCCCAAGAGGGCCTCCGATGCTCCAAAATGGCTTCCAAGGCGGCTCAAGATAGCAGAATATGGTTCAAGATAGCTTCCGGCATGCCTCCAAGAGGCCCCAAAAAAGGCCACAAGACGGCTCCAGATGCTTTGGGAACATCATCAAGACCAACCCAAGAAGCTAACATCCCGTTCGAATCCACGGAAAATCAATGAGGTGCGCATTCTCGCCCTTTCGCTTCCGATGCGCTATGGCCCGAAGATGGCCCAAGAGAGCCTTCAAGAGGGGTTCAGAGCGCCCCAAGACGACCCCAAGAGCGCTCAGTAGCACTCCAAGAGCGCCCCAAAAGAAAGGCCCGAAGAGGCGAGATCGAGGGCTCTGAGGGTGGGGGGGGCTACATTAGGGACCCCCACCCCTTTTGATCGATGGCCTCCAAGGTAGCCCCAAAAGGGCCTCCAGGGTTCCAAAGGATCCTCAACAGGGCCCAAGGAGGGCCCCAAGACCCTCCAAGAGAGCCCCAAGGGGACCCCAAGATCCCCAGAACGAGCCCCAAGAGGGCTCCAAGAAACGATTTTAAGGCTCGGTCCTCGTCCCCGTTGTCCTCCATCCCTTTCCTTCTCAATAACTTCCCCGTCTCACCCCGAAGCCAGTTTTTGGGCGGGCCGGGCGTTTCGCCAGAGATTTCATCACCGCTTACAACCCTGAAGCTGGAAAATCGGCAACAGGTGGCTTTCAAAATGTGGCTCTCGCCGTAGCGCCGCGCACATTCTTTTTGAAAATGTGCAAGAGTTCCACACATTGAGAGCAGCCCGTTTTCAAAATGTTGTTTTCGCTTGTACGCCGCGCACATTCATTCAAAACAACTGCAAGAGTTCCACGGATTGAAGGCAGCCCGTTTTCAAAATGTGGCTCTCGCCTTAGCGCCGCGCACATTCGGTTTAAACATTTGCAGAAGCTCCACAAGCCGTTTCCAAAATGTGGCTCTCGCCTTAGCGCCCCGCACATTCGTTTGCAAAAATTGCAAGAGTTCCACGGGTTGACAGCAACCCGTTTTCAAAATGTGGCTCTCGTTTCAGCGCCGCGCACATTCGTGTTAAACATGTGCAAGAGCTTCGCGGATTGAGGGCCGCTCCTTCCCAAAATGTGGCTCTCGCCTTAGCGCCTCGCACAGTCGTTTTTGAAATTTGCAAGAGCTTCACGGACCCTACCAGAACTGATGTGTTGGACAGATTAACGAATGATGGGTGCAACAATTACGTGGATTCGCGGCGCTGAAGTCCCAGTAATAGCAGCGTCAGACGCAACAGTCAGGTTGATCCGTGGCGTTGGAATCCCGAGAACAATGTGTTGGCATGCTTCAGGGTCAAATGGCTGTCTTCCAACGAGGCAGTTCCCTAAGTGGACATGAACCGTTGTAGGGGCCTATGAAGAGGGAGCCTGGACGGAGGGTTGATTCTAACATCGTTGATGACTCTTGGGTTTACACTGGTCCTCCTCGTCCTCCTCCTCCTCTTCCTCCTTCACCTCCTCCTCCTCCTCCTCCTCGTACTCGTCCTCGTCCTCGTCTTCACTCTCATCATCATCCTGTTCCTTTTCCTCCTTTTCCTCGTCGTGGTCGTCGTCGTCCTCCTCCTCCTCTTTCCCCTCGTCTTCCTCCTCCTCATCCTGCTCCTCCTCACCGTCCTGCTCCTCCTGCTCCTCCTGCTCCTCCTCCTCCTCCTCCTTCTCCTCCTCCTCCTTTTCCTCCTCCTCCTCCTCCTCCTCCTCCTCGTCCTCCTCCTCCTCCTTCCCTCGCCCCCACGCGGGCCCCACGGATGGCCCGAATCCCGAATAGGCCCTCAAAGGCCACCCCCTTTGCTGCCTGAGATCTCTCCGGTCACCCTGGTTGCCCGCCCTGTTTCACTATCTGCGTCTCTCTGTCCCTTTTCCTGTCAGCTTTCGTGGGCAGGGTTTCTCAATGGGCTGGTGGGGATACGCGACGCGTGAAGAAAGAATCATATGCAGTGGCAGTGCCATGCAAGAAGCATTGTCATCATAAGAGGAAGAAGCGACAACCCATCCTAACGCAAAGAAACGCAAAGCAGCTCAAAAGCAATAAGCAATGCAACTGCATGGGAATGCAATGCAGTAAAAACACAGGCTCAGCAGAACAATGTGAAGGAATAAGTTGCAAACAATCAGCAAGCAATAGACTTGCAATACGAAGCAATGTACTGCGATCGAATGCAAGAAATCTGGCAAACCCGACAACCCAGGGAAAGTGGTGTTCGGATTGGGCAGGGACAGGGAATCCGACGAAAGAGCCCTGGGAAACTTGGCAGCAGGTCGTAAGTGCCACCAGGTTGCCTGCACAGAGGAAGGGCTAGAGAGGGGAGAGAAGAACGAGGAGGAAAGTAAGAAGGAAAAGCGAGAATCCGGGTCACAGCAGGGATGAGAGAAGAGCAGGGATGAGAGAAGAGTCTAGCAATGGAACGGCGGAAGGAGAAACGGAGGGAGGCGAATAAGGAAGGCGGGATGGAGGAACAAGGAGAAGGGAGAGAGGAGATGGCAGGATGAAAGAGGTGCGATCGAGAAGGCAGGTAGTAAAAAACAGCGACGGAGGAGCTAAGAAGCCCTCGTGGGGCTTTTGTGAGCTCGTGGGGCTTTATGTGAAGAACACGTTGGAACAGAATTAATTGGGTCTCTGTCCGTTGGGCCAGCTGGGAAACCTGTGATGACTCTCAAATGGTTTACCCAGAAACGCGCCGAGCTACGATTCGAGCGGGGGTGCAAGAGGAATCCCTTAAAAAGCTTAAACAAAATATGTAAGCACTCGCTTCGCGGTCCAACTGGTCTTCGGTCCATCCTGCCTCCGTGCCTGCCTTGCGGGTCAGAATTTCTCGAATGCATGTTGGGGCCTCTCGGGAAATCCCTGGGGAGCCTCTTCGAGGTAGTTTTCAAGCCTCTCGGGGCCTCCCTGGGGCCATTTGGGGCTCTCTAAACACATGTTTGGGGCATCTTTGGGGCCTCTTGGGTCCTCTTGGGTGATTGTTGGGGGCATCGTGGTGGTATCAAAGGTCCCTCTGGGCGGAGTGCCTGAACTGTCAGTTCGAGATCCCCTTCCCGGGCTTCTCATGGGGCTCTCTGGGGCCGTCTTGGGCGCACCTTGCGCTGTCTTGGGGCATCATTGACCCGTCTGGGAGTTGTATTGTGGGTCTCTGGGGGATCTTCAAGGTCTCATGGGCCTTTCTGGACGCCACGAAAACCAAAAAAAAAATGCAAAAGTACACGTGTGCCCAAAGAGATGGGACGAGAAGAAAAGAGAACAGGAGATAAGAACGCGAAGCGCAGCGATGCGAAGAGAAACGAAGAGAAGCGAAGAGAAGCAAAGAGAAAAGAAGAGAAGAGAAGGGAAAAGAAGGGAAAGGAAGAGCACTGACGAGAAGAGAAGAGAAGAGAAGAGAAGAGAAGAGAAGAGAAGAGAAGAGAAGAGAAGAGAAGAGAAGAGAAGAGAAGAGAAGAGAAGAGAAGAGAAGAGAAGAGAAGAGAAGAGAAGAGAAGAGAAGAGAAGAGAAGAGAAGAGAAGAGACGAGAAGAGAAGAGAAGAGAGGAGAAGAGAAGAGGACAAGGACAAGGACGGCGGCGACGACGACAGCGACAAGGACGGCGGGGCGGCGGCGGCAGCAGCTGCCTGTCGCGGTCTCTGCTGCGATCTCGCTCCCGAGAGCCACTGCGCCGCCTCGGGGAAGCAGCAGCTCCCACCTCCACCACGATCCTCCTCCTCATCCTCATCCTCATCGTCATAACCATCATCATCACCATCAGAATACTAATCATCATCGTCGTCATCATCGTCGTCATCGTCATCATTATCATCATCGTCAGCATCCTCGTCGTCGTCGTCGTTGCCGTCGTCGTCGTCGTCGTTGTCGTCGTCGACGTCGACGTCATCATCATCGCCACCATATCCATGCCCAGCCTCATCCCCATGATCATCGTCATCAGCAGCAGCAGCGTCATCATCATCGTCATCAGCATCATCATCATCAGCATTAGCAACATCATCATCGTCATCATCATCAGCAGCATCATCGACATATTCATGACCACCATCACCACCACCACGATCACCATGATCACAATGCTCAGCCTGATCAACATGATAACCATGATCACCATGACAACAATGATCACCAAAAAAAACATGATCGTCATCAGCAGAATCAGCATCATCATCATCGTCATCAGCAGCATCATCCTCATCAGCAGCCTCATCAGCATCAGCAGCAGCATCAACATCGTGGCTGTCGTCGTCATAGTCATCATTATCATGACCATCAGCAGCAACAGCATCATCAGCATCATCAGCATCAGCATCAGCATCAGCATCAGCATCATCCGCAGCAGCATCAGCATCCTTATCAGCATCATCATCATCATCATCATCATCATCATCATCATCATTGTCATCATCATCGTCGTCATCATGATCATCATCATCATCAGCAGCAGCAGCAGCAGCAGCATCAGTATCATCATCGTCGTCGCCGTCGTCATCATAATCGCCTCCGCCTCCTCCGCCTCCTCCTCCGCCTCCTCCTCCTCATAATCATCAGCATCATCAGCAGCAGAAGCATCCACATCCTCATCCTCAACGTCATCGTTATCGTCATCATCATCATCAGCAGCAGCATCATCATCATCCGCATCCGCATCCTGATCATCTTCATTATCATCAGCAGTATTGCCATACTCGTCAGCATCATCATGAACATCACCATCATCAGCATCATCATCATCAGCATCAGCATCATCATCATCAGCATCAGCATCAGCATCAGCATCAGCATCATCGTCATCAGCATCAGCATCATCGTCATCATCATCATCGTCATCATCATCATCATCATCTGCAGCATCAGAATCATCATAACCATCATCACCATCATCATCATCAGCAGCAAAAGCAACAGCAACAGCAGCAGCATCGTCACATTATCATCAGCAGCAGCATCATCATCAGCAGCAGCATCATCATCATCAGCAGCATCAGCATCAGCAGCAGCAGCATCCGCATCAGCATCAGTATTATCATCACCAGCAGCAGCAACACCATCAACCCACAAACACAGTCAACCTAACTATCAGCATGACCACCATCACCACCATGATCACCATGGTCATCACCATCAGAATCATCATCAGCAGTATCGTCATCATCAGCATCATCATCATTAGCATCAGCATCGTCATCATCATCAGTACCATCATGATCCGCATCATCAGGATCATGGTCATCAGCATCACCAGCTGCAGCAGCATCATCCTTATCATCATCATGAACAGCATCAGCACCATCCATCGCCATTCATTAGTCATCATCGTCGTCATAATCATCGTCATCAGCATCCCTATCGTCGCCATCATCATCGTCAGCATCGTCAGCAGCATCACCGTCATCGTTGTTGTAATTAATCATCATCAGCATCGCCATCATCATCATAATCAGCATCATCATCAGTATCAGCATCATCATGATCATCAGCATCAGCATCAGCATCAGCATCAGCATCAGCATCATCATCATCATCATCATCATCATCATCATCATCATCATCATCATCATCATCATCATCATCATCATCATCATCATCATCGTCATCAGCATCATCATCATCATTATCATCAGAATCATCAGCATCATCATCAGCAGCAGCAGCGTTATCATCATCAGCAGCAGCATCCTCATCATCATCAGATTCAGCATCATCATCATCAGCAGCGTCGTCATCATCTTCATCATCAGCAGCAGCACACCCAGCAGCATCATCGTCCTTATCGGCAACAGCATCACTACCATCAACAACAACAGCATCAGCATCAACATCAGCAACATCATCAGCATCAGCAGCGCTATCATCATCAGAATCCTCCTCATCATCACCAGCATCATCATCATCATCATCATCATCGTCATAGCCATCATCATCAGCATCATCATCAGCATCATCACCATCATCATCCTCATCAGCATAATCCTCATCGTCATCGTCATTATTGTCATCAGCACCACCACCATCATCATCATCATCATCATCATCAGCAGCATCATCCTCATCGTCATCGTCATTACTGTCATCATCACCACCACCATCATCATTATCATCATCATCCGCATCATCATCAGCAGCATCGTCATCATCCTCATCAGCATCATCCTCATCGACATCGTCATTACTGTCATCAACATCGTCACCATCATCATCATCATCATCATCATCAGCAGCAGCAGCAGCAGCAGCAGCCGCATCGTCATCATCATCAGTATCCTTATCATAATCGTCGTCGTCATCGTCATCGTCATCGTCGTCGTCATCTCAGCATGTGTCTAGGACCTTTCTTCCAAAATCCGATCCTAGCGGGGCGTTTGTTTTCTCCCGCTTGCTCGTTGGACGCCGTCGTCGTCGTCAATTCCAAGTAAAATTGAGGAACAATGAACAAAATAATGTCGATCTTGAGTCGAAGGGAAGCCCCTTCCCTCTGATCGCTTCCCCGCCGAGGGGGGTCTCAAGTCAGATGACCGCCGGCTCCAAGCCTCGGGCGTGCTTCCCAAAATGGCCCTCGGGGCTGGCAAACCAATCCAAAACAGTCCTCATCCTCCTCATCATTAGCTTGCTTCCCAGCCGTCCCTCGGGGGGACGCCAAGGTGGGGTAGGGGCAGAGGTGGAAGAAAACCTGACCAAACTGCCCCTGGACGAAGCAAATGTGGACATCCGACTGGGCTCGTTCCCTGACTTCCACGAGCCCCCGAGTCTTAGCTTGGGGAAACGGGCCCTGAGAGAAACAGGCCCTGGACCCCGGGCGCCTGCCCCCAGGACCAGCTCTTCATCCCGAGCCGCTCTCGGACAACCCCAGGGAGCCCGAAAACAGCCAAAAAAACCTTAGGAACCGTTTCTCTCAGGACCACTTTTGGAGGGAAGGAGGGGGAGGAGGAGGAGGAGGAGGAGGAGGAGGAGGAGGAGGAGGAGGAGAAGGAGGGGCAGGAGGAGGAGGAGGAGGAGGAGGAGGAGGAGGAGGCAGGAGGAGGAGGAGGAGGAGGAAAAGGAGGAGGAAAAGGAGGAGGAAGAGGAGGAGGTAAAGAAGGAGGGGGGAGAGGGGGAGGACGAGGAGGAGGAGGAGCAGGAGGAGTAAGACGAGGAGGAAGAGAAAAAGGAGGAGGAGCAGGAGGAGGAGGGGAAGGAGGGGGAGTAGGAGGAGTAGGGGGACGATGAGGAGGAGGAGGAGGAGGAGGAGGAGGAGGAGGAGGAGGAGCAGGATGAGGAGGAAGAGGAGGAGGAAGAGGACGAAGAGGAGGAGGAGCAGGAGGAGGAGGAGGAGGGGAAGGAGGGGGAGTAGGAGGAGGAGGGGGATGATGATGAGGAGAAGGAGGAGCAGGATGAGGAGGAAGAGGAGGGAGGAGGAGGAGGAAGAGGAGGAGGAGGAGGAGGAGGAGGAGGAGGAGGAGGAGGAGGAGGAGGAGGAGGAGGAGGGGGGGAGCAGGAGGAGGAGGAGGAGGAGGAAGGAGGAGCAGGAGGAGGAGGAGTAAGAGGAGGAGGAATAGGAGGAGGAGGAGCAGGTGGAGGAAGAGAGGTGCGCTCGCGTCATATCTGACGTCCTACCCCTCCATCCCATCCCTTACCATGGCGTAGATCTCCTCTCTATTCGCACAGTCGGATGTCGTAGCATGGCATAGCATTACATGGCATAGCATGGTCTCGAAGATCAACGCGTAGCATGACATAGCATGGCGCTGCGACGCCTCAAGGTGGGGGGGGGCTTCTGCAGCCAAAAAAATCAACGAATCTGCACCGAATGTGTAATCACTTCCGATGGTTTCTTCGGGAGGCCATTTTCTAGACTTCGGGGCCTATTTGGAAGGACCGAACACCATGCCGGGGGATGGCATTCGAAATAATGACGCCAGCGCTGCAGCAGCGGGAGCACGATTCGGAATTCGGAACGAGCGGAAGCGCGAAAATGAGGCCAGCGCTGCAGCGAGAGCACGATTCGGGACGAGCGGTAGCCCGAAAATGAAGCCAGCGCCTCAGCGAGAGCAGCATTTTGAGGAAAAACCAAGCGAAAACCCGTTTCCCGGGAATCCTGTGTAAAAAAGCAGTACGCGGAGGAGGGCCGGCCATTTCCCAGACGTCACCAGGGAAGAGAGGAGAGTAGTATTCATACCGTCTCATTGTGGAAGCTGGAGGAGGACCCTTAGCCCCCTGGCGAGATTCTCTCGTCCACTCCCTGCGGCCAGCGGCGGTGCAGGGGCCGCGTGCCGCCTCCGCTTGCTGGGGCTACGCCGCCGGCTGCGGCTGCGCTTCTTGCTCCTGCCGAGCCCCCCGCCGCGGCGAAGAGGGGCGGACGGGGGGGAGAAGGAGGGTCGATAGAGGCCTCCTAGATGGGGCCCGAATAGATGGGGTCGGAGGATCTCGCCGCATCGCCGATGCGTCGGCGATGCATCGGCGATGCATCAGCGATGCATCGGCCATGCACTGGCGACGTCGCCGACGCATCACTGACGTCGAGCCCCACATCGAGCCGCATCGAGCCCCACTTCGAGCTCCACGCAGCGACCCGTGGAGAAAATATGGCCCCACATCGAGCCGCATCACCGATACATCGCTGATGCATCGGCGAGGCGGCGCGATCCTCCGACCCCATCTACTCCGACCCCATCTAGGAGGCCTAGGGTCGAGTCGGGCGTTGCGTCATGAAAGTAGGGGGATAAGTGGGAGGGGGGGACGTGCCCCTCGCGCTGTGGAGTATAAATATATATATATATATATATATATATATATATATTCACTGCGTGGAGCTCCCCATATGTGCATCTATTTGCATGGACTGGGTATGAGTGAGTCTGAGTATGAGTATGATGAGTACAAGTCTGAGCACAAATGAGTCTGGGACATCCTCGTAATCTGCCCCCCCTGGGGTGCGGAAGCCAGTGAGTCTGAGTATGAGTATAGTGAGTACGAGTCTAAGTCTGAATGGGTCTGAGTACGAGTGAGTTTGACTACGAGTGAATATGATGATGGGTGGGTCTCAGTGTGAGTGATGCTGAGCGTGAGTAAATCTGAATGTGAGTGCGTCTGACTATGAGTATGATGGATATGAAACTGGCCCTGGGAGGGTCTGAGCACGAGTGAGTCTGATTACGAATGAGTCTGAGGGTGGGCGGGTCTAAGTGTGAATGAGTCTGAGTGTGCGTAAGTCTGGGTGTGAATGAGTCTGAGTATGAGTATGATGAGTGCAAGTCTGAGTATGAGTGAGCCTGAGCACGAGTGAGTTTGAGCATAAGTGAGTCTAGGACATCCTCGCAATCTGGGCCCTCTGGGAGTGCGGAAATCAGCGACTCGCCATAGACATCCTCAGAATCTGTTTTGACAGCAGGCGAGTCTGACCACCAAAACACGCAAACCGCTTGAGACATCCTCGAAATCTGCCCCCCTTGGGGTGCGAAAACCAGCGCCTCGCCCGAGGCATCCTCAAAATCTGCTCCAAGGATGTCCGCGACCAAAACAGGCAAACCGCTCGAGACATCCCTGCCATTCTGGCGCGAACGGAGGCCGTGCAATACCCCTGGCGGCCCCCCTTAGGAGTGCTAGAAACAACAAACCACTCGAGAAATCCTCATCATCTGCTCATCGTCATCATCATCATCATCATCATCATCATCATCAACAACATCATCATCATCATCATCCTCATCATCATCATCATCAGCAGCATATCATCAGCATCATCATCATCACAGTCAGCATCATCATCAGCAGCATGATCATCATCATCAGCATCATCAGCAGCATCATCAGCAGCATCATCAGCATCAGCATCAGCATCATCATCATCATCAGCAGCAGCAGCAGCACCATCATCCTCATTATCCTACTACTACTGAAGCATCAGTCACCATCACCATCAGACTCACATCATACTCAAACCACACCATGGTCATCATCGTGACAATCATCACCAATGTCTAGTGCAGAGAGGGAGGAAGGGGAGGGGTTATATTGGTCCGGCGCGGTCGGAGAATAATTATTCACTGCGTGGAGCTCCCCATATGTGCATCTATTCGCATGGACCTGTCCGCGGGGAGAGTCTAGGCGCAAGAGTTTTCGAATAAAAGCGGGCTTGAGTTGTGACGGTCTGGTCATGAATCTAATTTCGAACGGATTGGAGCTTGAATGAGTCTCGGTAGTACGAGCGCGCGTCTCTGCGCATGAGCCTGGGGCCTCTTGGGGCCTCCAAAAACCTCCTGGGCCTTCCTCGGGCCTCCAGGAGCCTCTTGGGGCCTCCTGGGGCCTCTTTGGGCTTCGAGTGGCCTCCTGAGTCCTCATGGAGCCTCGCGTAGCCTCCTGGAGCCCCCTGGAGCCTCCTGGGACCTCCTAGGGAGGATTCGTGCCCCAGGAGAAGGCCGATCTGTAGGGACAGACGTACATAAAACATTGCGGATTGGAGCCACAGGAGAAGGGCAGTCTCTAGGAGCACACGTAAAACATCAAGGACTCGTGCCCCAGGGGAGGCCTAATCTATAGGAACTTTCGTAAAACATTTAGGATTGCATACACAGATATATGTATGTATATATTAATATGTAGTATACTCTTTCTATAATAATAACAACATATATATATATATACAAAAAAAATGATTTTTAATATTTTTGTATATATATATATATTAAAAACAACAACAACAACAACAACAACAACAACAACAACAACAACAACAAAAAAAAAAAAAAAACAAAAAAAAAAAAAAAAAAAAAAAAAAAAAAAAAAAAAAAAAAAAAAAAAAAAAAACTATAGCATCAAGGATTCGTGCTCCAGGTGAGGCCCAGTGTATAGGAGCATACGTAAAACACATGGGATTGGAGCCACTCATGTTGCCTTCTGAGGCCTCCTGCTCCTAGGGCCTCTCGGGGCCTCCTGTTGCCAGGGCCTCCTGGCGCTTCCTGTGGCCTCCTGGGGCTTCCTGAGGCCTCCTGGAGCTT